CTATTATAAATTTATGAAACTCTATAAATAGATTTTTTATTTATGAAAAAGATTTGTACCTAATAAATTTATCTACAAATACTAAATTATTTCACGGAAGAAATATACGCAAAAAATTAAATATTTGTATTTAATGTCTAAAGCTTACAATCTGCGGTGTATCCAAAAATCGCAATATTAAAATCTTAGGGAAAAAATACATGTTGAAAACCGGCCGAAAGATTGGTCCGAAGAAATCAGCTTTAAGAAAACTTTATATTAATTCAAGAAAATTAATTCCCTGAATAGAAATCTAAATAATTGTTAATATAATGACGCTCTGCATTAATACATTTAACTGTGTCAACAGAATATGAATCTGCTACAACTACACATGTACATGTACGTTACGCTAAGCTCTAACTTATGTAAAGGAGAAAGTCCAAAAACTGTCCATTCTGTGAGAGAAAAAGCTGTTCGAGGCCCGAAGGGCCGAGAATAGTTTTTTCTCTCACAGAATGGACAGTTTGAGGACTTTATCCTACTTAAAACATTTTCTCTATTGTTAACTTAATAAACTGTCCCAGGTGATGATGATATATTTGCTATGATAACGTTACACACTTGATTGTCCAGAGAGTGAGGAGTGAAAACAATAGCTGTATTGTTCAACTTAAAGGACAGTGCCAGGTAAATTTAGATTTAAATGATAGCTCACTTGATTTCTGACTACTTCCCATGTAAGGCTTCATGAATGAAGATGTCCTCATCGGATGGAGAAAGTAATACATATTTCTCCAAAAATGCAGAACAAAGGTCGGTAAATACTAAAAAGTAGGTAGACACAAGCAGAAGCCTGTAGGTATGCAGAAACTGAAGTTAGTGTTCAAGTTTTGACAAAAAATCTTTGTGAACAATCAGGATTTAATGGAAACTACACGAAACATTCTTTTAGAACAACAGCGGCAACCCGCTTGTATAAAGCTGAGACTGCGGAACAGCTACATTATGTACAGTGTAATGACAGAGAAAACGGGCCACAAGTCTATTACAGTTTGATTCTACAATTGAACTAACAATGATTAGTAGCAGAGAGTAAATGAAATAATTCATCGAAATACATATGGGGATTCAAATAACGGCAAGTGTATGAAAAAGATGAAAATTTGTGATCCATGTCTCAAAAATGATTCCACCTGTAGTGCATCGAGTGAGGTTATCATTTCATCAGGAAATATGCTTTTCCCTTTTAAAATTTAAATTGTTGTAGGATGTATTTTTAAACATTCATGGAATGGATCTAGTACGTTTAGCATTCATCTTAGGCAAATGTTGTGAAGAGGATAAGATGTTTGTTCATTAATGAAAAAAATTCTGGATGCGGATGTTCTAAAATTATTACGCATTAGGATATTACATATGTGTCTTTTTTCCATTGGATTTTTCATTTCCAAAAATGATACACTGTTGAACAATTCATATACAAATGTTTGAAATTTATGCATAATCGTGTATTAAATTGAAAATTTAGTTGCCTGTTTTTAGTACTAATGAATTTCAGGAAGTATTTTGCATTTTATGTTTTGTTTTCAATATTCAAATCTGTACATTAAGTTACCTGTAATTGTACATTAAATTGACAAAAAGCTGTAGATTAAGTTAAGAATTGAGAGTTTTGCCAACTTAATGTACAGTTACAGGTGACTTAATGTACAGGTTTTAGATATCCAAATCTATTATGCTATATAATGTACTAAAAACACAAAGGATTACATAACAAAAATGTTTTAAGTACATGTAAACGTTTATATATCAGATACTTAAAACCTCTTATAAATTAACGAACATTGAATGACATTTTTTCTTTACAATAGAAAACACAAAAATTAGAAACAAATATTAAAAGGGTGAAATGCGACTTTTCCGACTAAATAATTGTAAATCATTGATACTAAACTTAATGTGTACTGTTTCTAATGCAAATGAATTATTAAACCCTGAACATTATTTTAGACTTACCCGGTAGTCTCATATACGGCGTATTCGAAGGGTGGGATGTTGAAAGTCCGTAACCAATTTAAAATTAGATAAATATGATCTAACCAAATACATGTAGCCAAAAATAATATTGACTTCTTAAATAAAGATATAGACGTATGGAATTAAATCTATTAATACTATAAATTGATTGGGTGCAATACATTAAATCGCCTTGCATGGTCACGGTGGAATCAGACTTTTTTATTATTATTATTATAGTAAAATACCGTAGAAAAAAATAATGCGAGCAAATTTTCATAGTTTAAAATATAAGAATTATTTCAATCTTTTCTACCATCAAAGAAATTGTTTCCTAGAATTAATTCTGTCTGTAAGCCGATGAAAACCCGATGATCCGAAAGAAAAACCGATGATTCGAAAGTTCATATACCATAAGTGCAGTATTTTTTTTTTATTTCTTTAAAAGACTTTTTTTTTTACATAAAGTTATGGAAACATCGTACAGATAAAATAAATCAGCGGATTGAGTTATGTGATTTTTTTTTTAATTTAAATTCAAGCTAGGAAATGATTTTTCAAATCCATAAATTGTACAATTATTTAATTGATTTAGAAGAAAAAAATCTGTTATGAGTGTACATGTAGTTCACGCAAGGTGTAAACACAATCCCGAAAATAGATACTGTTTGACACAAGGTAAGAGAGCAGTTCAGGAATGTTGAGCTATCATTTAGGGGGCTAGGATAGAAGGGGAAGGGGTGTTGACCGCACAGGAAGGCAGTGTGCTGATTAGAAAGGTACACATACGTGTCAGCTTTAATTATGGTAAGGAAAGCTCTTCGCTTTGATACGCAGGTGCATTATATTTTAGTTCATTTCCACGCGGAAAAGCAAAGCTGTTCAAAACCATCATGTTTTTTCCTGTTTATTATTTTTTTGATTTTCTAATGCCAGATAAAATTACATGTAATGTAAAACTTCTATTTTATAGGAACTGGAGTGATAGATCGGGTAGAGCATTTTCATGCAGTACATTTTATAATGTAGATATACTTCTTTTTTTAAATTTAGACAAAAATGTCATATTAAGAAATTTAACTAATTAGATAGTGATAAAAATAAATTCGAAAAAATTGTACCTATACGGAGAAAATCTGTGTTAAAGTTATCTGGATCATTAATGTCTCAAATGCTTAAAGCTTCGTTATTATTTGTTTTAAAATCAAGATTTTTTAAAAGATAATTGTGTATACATGTACATGCAGATCAGAGGCAAAAAACAATCCTAATATTACCAGACGATTGATGGTGAGAAAAAAATGTATAAATCCTCTGCTAATTATTATAAAAATTTTCCGTGACTTACCGAAAATCATCCTCTATAGTGACTCATTTCCATGAATTAAAAAAACAAACAAACAGGGAGTCGATTATTTCATTTTCAAAAATTAATTTTGATTCTCTGTTTGTCTATGATATGATTAATTTCTCAATTTAATTTATTATTAATTGTTTAATTTATTGATTATATTATTTATATATTTATTCTTTTCCTTCCACCCTTTAATATTTCTTTTAATGATGAAAAACTAAGGAATTAAACTATCTTTTCTTTTTCTTGGTTAAAGCAATCTTATTTTAGTTAACAAAACGAAAAAGAAACTCGGAATACCTCGGTAGTTTCTTCCTGTAGTAAAGATAAAAAGCGAGGATTTCCGAATATACACGATAAACGCAAAACACGATGTATACAAGATAGAACCTGATAAACGATCTACACGATAGAAAACGCAAAACACGATAAACGGAAAACACGATACGATAGGATACACGCACGATACGATAGGATACACGCACGATACGATAGGATACACGCACGATAGGACACGATAGATTTGTAAAGAATAACGATGCGGGTACTGTATATGTATAGGAGAAAAACAAAAGGTCCCAAAACAGAACCCTGAGGAACACCAGCATTTACTGTCTCATGGTTTGATGAAAAGCCATCAATTACAACTTTTTGTTGTCTAGTACACAAATAATTCTCAATCCAGCCTAATATGTTGCCATTAATACCATATTTTTTTTTTTACTTTAGCAAACTTTATCAAATGCTTTTGAGATATCACAAAAAATAAATCTAACATCTTTTCCTTTGTCAAGACTTGAAATTATAGTGTTATATATTTCTACTAGTTGGTTCACAGTTGAGTCTCCAGGTTGAAACCCTGACTGATATTTGTAATTACATTATTATCTTTCATAAAATTATGCAATTGTTTAAACAATTTTTTTCCGTTATTTTACACAAGACACTTGTTAGGGATATTGGTCAGCCTATAATTTGATACTTCTTGAGCACTATCTTTATTTTTAAATACGGGTGTAATCTGTGATAGTCTAGATAGATCAGAGGTTGGGGGCTATGCAAAATATTCAAAAACAACTTACATTTGGGGAAATTTAAATGATTTTTTGAAGAGATTTGAGGAAAATGAAATATACACATGTAATAATATTACTTCATTATAGATGAACTAGCCAGAAATGTGTCATGCAGGTGTGACTGGCCGACAGGGAATGTTCACTCCTCCATCGTACCTGATCCCACCTCTGATCTTTTGGAAGTCCGTTTTTGCTCTGCTCCTATTTTGTATTGTTCTATATATGGACTTTTGATCTTGAATACTGTTCGTTATCTCCATATGTTTCAATGTTATGCATTCAACAAAGGTTCAACTGAAAATTTAATATATTTTCAACTAAAACTGAGCAGTTCTAAATTTTCAGAAATTCACAGGGAGGGCCAAAAAGGCAATTAGTGGACCTTGTTCTTTTTTTAAATTCTACTTTTCGTTCAATTATTTATTTTCGAAGCATCATACCCTTGGATGGAATTTACCGGAGTTAAACCAAAGACATATAAAACCAGGGGGTCTCTATGTCTCTGGTTAAACATAGAATACGAAAAGAACTCCTTTTTCCCCATGGGACCGAACTGTAAGCGGGTCGAATTGTCAAGATACCAAGAGTAAACACGTTCAAAGATGGCTGCGCCCATGGCGCAGATGGATGTCCCAGTTCGTGTCAACAAAAATGCCGAGAAAAAGACAAAGTCTTGCAAAAGTCGGAGAGAAACAGCGGTAATTCATTTAGAAATGAAAACAGTTAACTTTTTTACGAAGCCATGCTTACTTAACTTCATTAGATGATAGATTAAACCGGTGTTTAAAACTCCCTGTAAAATTAGCTAGACTAGTCCGAAAAATCTGACGTTTTCCTGGCTTTTTTACGATTTTTATATTTTACATGCCAGGAAAACGCATGTTAAATATAAAAATCGTAAAAAGCCAGGACTATAGCTAGACATGCAGGGCTGATCGCTAGTCAAAGTTGTCCCGCAGTCAGCTGTACTAAAAATGTACTAGCCCGAAAAAATGTCTTTGATAAGTTCTTTTTTGTAATAAATAATAATGTGAATGGGGCCAGCTCACTATATATTCGACCTATACAGGTCCAGTACAATCACTAGATTTAGCTACGTAGGTAGAATATTACCTACATAGCTTTATTTACCTTACCTCAGGTAGCTTTATTTAGCTATTTCAAGGCCGAGGCTATCCGCACGACGGTCGTGCCGATTATATTCGTTATTCGCACGACGGTCGTGCCGATTATATTCGTTAATCGCACGACGGTCATGCCGATTAGAAATCTTATCCGCACGACGATAAAAAGAGAGATAACTCCTCTAAAATACCCACAACTTATTGTGCACACTGGTAAAACAAATGATAATGAATACAACAAAACTGTGGCAAAAAATAAAAAACTTCGTAATTATTATTAAAGCAACAATTTTGCAAAAATTACTATGCTACTATTACTTAGCTGCATAGGTAGAAATAGTCTTTGGACTGACCAATGGTTATATACCACATTATGCACGTATAAGAGATTACATATTTCTTTTTCTTTAAAATAAATATTTTGTTCATGTAATTGTAATTCAAATGTTTTGTAAAATCAATAAATAAATCAATTTTCCAATTATATTCATCACTATGTTGCATGTCCTAAACATTAATTCAATGACATTCATAATTATTACTATACCTCTGATTTGGTCGAAGCCCATGTCCTTTCACTTTTTTCTTCTTGTTCTTCGGCCCGTGCTTACATTCATATTTTACAAATCTGAATCGAAATTTTTCATCATAAGGTCTTTTCACTTTTAGATTCTCGCTTTTTGTTGATTTGCTGTCTGTGATGGTGTATTGAACATTTTCTCTTTCGCAGTAGGCTTCTAAAGCTTTTTCAAAATCTTCATAAGTATCGAATGTGTCGCCTACATCCATCCCTTCCTCCATTTTTGCGCTATCTCATTTTCCCGCGACAGCATCCTCCGATCTCTCTGGCCAACTTTGGCCGATTCTGTACCTTGGGGCGGGCCATTGATCACCTGGGGGAATTTTAAAAACGAGAATTGACGTGCAGTATCAAAAGCTATGACAAACCAGTACTCGAAAGATTTGAAGAATAATAATAATTCTAGTTCTGCTGATAAACAAAAGTGTATTACAGGTTCTAATCTAAGTCAATTGACGTTTTAAACATTTGTCTTAATAAATGAAAAATTCCCCATGGTGCAGCCATAATAATAACATTGAAATATGGGGATTTTTTTTTTACTTTACGATATAAGAAAGGTTAAAAAGGTCCAGTGGTTGTATATTATATTTATCACAAAGAAATATCTTTCCCATAAATAAGTAAAGAAAGAGCGTGATATTGTGACAAAATATTTAATCAACATATTATGTAGAAATAACTCTTTTACTTTTTAAAAGGATTGTCTCAAAAATAACTCGAACTCTTAAAACATTTTGACTTCATTAATAGTCTTAAAGCGAAACCGTTCATATGTACGTGTTATATAACAAAAAACAACAAACATGTAGCACAATTTGTATAATAGCTGCAGATCTGGTCTGAAAAGGAAATGGGATGGATGACCCCAGAGGTACAGTGCCACACACTAATATATGACCCCTTGATTTTTTTTTTATTTTACAATTTATATTTATTACACTGTCTTTTCATGTTTTCAATGCGAAAAATTTAGTTAAAAGACTGAAGATAACCGTTCCATTCAAAAAATACTCCTCCATACATAATATTAGAGGGGTATTCGTTTGTGAACGTGGGTGTACCCAGAATTTTTTTTTTTTTTTACTTACCTGAAGAAGTTGACAAGCAAAAAAAAAGATAGAAAATCCTATTACATGGGGGGGGGGGGGTTTAAAGCTATTTTTTTTTTAATGCCACATTATTTTTATGATGACTTGCCATTTCACGCCATTTAACTGCCATTTTTAAAGCAAAACAGCGTGCACAATAAGTCATCACAATATTGTAGAGGAGTTCACAGGGGCCGGTAACATACAGTTTTTGATTTTACGTATTCACTATATATATACAAAAAAGGATCTCTTTTTGTATACATATAGTGATTACGTAAATTCAAATACAGTATGTTACAGGCCCCTGTGGAGGAGTTATCTCTCTTTTTATTGTCGTGCGGATAAGATTTCTAATCGGCACGACCGTTGTGCGAATAACGAATATAATCGGCACGACCGTCGTGCGGATAGACACTTCCCTATTTCAATGCAACTTTTCAAAGTTTTTCTTTTTATTTAAAAGAGACAAAAAATCGCAATTAAATGACTTTTGATATTTATACTAGGAAGGTTTTAAAAAAAACAATCCAGAGCAGAGATAGTTTATACATCATGTACATTGCTGTATTTCAAACATGCATGAGAGAGGATATAACCAAACAATGGAATTACACGTTTTGCTCTAAATTGTCCAAACGCCTCTCTCATGCATGCAGTGAGGCATGGCTGAGTATGCTTACTTAACATTGTGCTAAATAATTACCAAGTTGAACGTGTTATCATGATAACCGGAACTGGACTCCATTGTCATTTCATTCAAGGAGTAACTGTTCCAACTGTCATACATAGCCTCAAAACTTTAAAAACTTTTATTGCAATTGCGCAGAAAAAGACATTTTTTCAAGAGTGATTTTTTCATGAATTGTTTTCAGATGAGTTCAAAGTTGAAAATAATCATTGCATCAAAATGATATTTTCTGCACACCCTGAGAAAAATGCTTTTTTACAGGAATAAATTGATTTGGTTAGCTAAATACACCTACCTCAGGTAGGTGAATAAAGCTAAGTAGGTAAATCAAGCTATGTAGCTAAATCTAGTGATTGTACCAGACCTGCTATAGGCTGCATGATCAAATTCTACTCATTTGCTTGTTACACAGTCACTGTACAATCAGTAGTTATATTAGTTGATTTGAGAGAGTTTTTTCAAATATCTAAATTTTGATTTATGGAAAATTTTTACATGTCCAGCGCTGGGCATCAGTATACTTCCAAATCTGTTTGCCCGTGACAAAATTGGCTTAAATTGAGGTTGGGAGCACGGTTATTTCAAACACTGATTAAATGAACGATCGGTGTTAAGAAAATAATATCACCTGATCATATAAATACACTGTCACATTGATTTTAATATCACCAGGACCACTATGCCACCTTTGAAGAATTGTTAGGTTGCCCTCTCCTGACCGACTGGCAAAAAATGGCCCCAATCAAAACTTTTTTTAATCTTCCAAGAAGCTTACGCAGCGAGCATCTTATGCCTAGCTGAAGAGAAAATTCAGACTATTGCACATTCATTCCATAAAAAATTTTTCCACAGTAACTTTGACCAACAGGGCATTGCTTCGTACAGCATTCTCGCGAGAATAACAACAAAAGTTTAGCAGAAAATAAAAACTCGCCTTGACTTTATGACTATCACCTCACCTTCACCTATCCTCTTCATGCCCCCTGGCACATAAGGCATCAAATGCTTCTTCAGTCTCGAGGGGTGTTTCCAATGCCACTAGGTCTTACCTTACAAATCCCCGAGTAAAACAACCGTCTCAAACAGCGAAGCACATGTCACACCTACACGTTTGGTGACTCTGGTTATACCTTGGTAGCTGAGTGACAGTGGTGAAAGGCGAGACTCCGGTGCCTTTAAATAACTGGAACTTGTGGCTAAGGGAAGGAAAACCCCAACAGAAAACCACTGGTGCTTCGAGTCCAGGGGGTTTCTGCATGGCTAATCACCAGGCAGAGTAAAGTCTTCATGATTACGTAAACCCAAAATACACTGAATTTATGACTATATTGCAGATATCCAAGTAAATAAAAACTTTCTTCATTTAAGTCAGCACTGTTCAGGCTGTGTTTTAGTAGAACAACCTTACAGATGATGTAATGTTATGTCAGAGTCTAGACGCAACAAACGTCACGTGCTGTTTGACGAACCAGTTATTATAAATTAGAAAAGAATAAGCATCTGCGCTCGCCTCAACAGTTCACTGTCAACAGATTATTTTAGCATTATGAAAAACAGATTTTGAAAATTCAGCATTGAAATTGAAATTTTCTTTGAAAGATGCTTCTACTATGGACCAATCTTTTGGTTAAAAAACCCCAAAACTTTTGTTAGTGAAGCTTACCAAGTGATGCATTCATGACATTGACAATGCAGCATCGTGGGTCCAGATCTAGCATGGAAAAAATTCTAATTGAATGAAAATGAAGTAGATTCCAATCATTCCATCTGAATTTTCTCTTCACACGAGCATTGTTGTTAGCGCTTGCAGTGATGAGAGGGGCTTCCTTCCGCTCACTGTACTTGCTATATATATTTGATTACAAAAATAATTAATTTACTTTCAGTTGTTTTAAATTTTACACATCTAGGTCCAAGGAACCAATGATAGCTCCATTGTCAGCAAGTGTTCCATGGCCAGTGTGGGTTACTTCTCGGACCCCTATCTCCATTGCTTTGTCTCCAAGACAACAAGACGCTCTCCACTTATCCATAGGTAAATTATTATGTACAGGTATTGCATTAAATATAACTTTTATTTCTTTCTCTGGTTTAAGTTATTTTTGGAGAAAAAAATGGATCAATAACATAAATTTTATGCTGACAATATATGAAATTTTGTATATCAGATTGGCAGGTAAGAGGCTCATTAAGCCAATTAAAAATTATCTTAATCAGGAGGCAGAGTTAAACTTTAAGTGATGGAATGTAGAATTTTTATTTGATTGGAAAATCTTGTATATCCAAAGAATATACATGATTGTGAGTACTGTGAACAATTATAAATGATTAAAGAGTATACAATTAAATACAGTTTATTTTTGAGAAACTTTTGCATCCAACCTTAAGTAAAACTGTATAACTATAGAGAACTCATTAAGTCATACAGGATGAAATTTTTTTCACAGGGGTTATTATATCCGAGCAAAGGCCGCAGATTTCTTCCTTAGAAAGTTTCTAGAAACCTACCCTCACAGAAATCAGGTAAATTAATCCTGTTATTTGTATATCTAAAAGAAAAGTACCTTAAAGGATTTTAGCTGTCATCAATTGGAGTTTAAGAGGCTAAAGTATAAAGGAGATTTTTAGCTCACCTGAGCCGAAGGCTCAAGTGAGCTTTTCTGATCACATTTTGTCCGTCGTCCATCCTTCCGTCTGTCTGTCTAGCTGTCTGTCCATCTGTAAACTTTTCACATTTTCGACTTCTTCTCAAGAACCACTGAGCCAATTTTGACCAAACTTGGTACAAAGCATCCTTGAGTGAAGGGGAATTTTATTGTTAAAATGAAGGGACATATCCCCACGCAAGGGGAGATAATCAAGAAAAGACAAAAATAGGGTGGGGTCATTAAAAAATCTTCTTCTCAAGAACCATTGGGCCAGAAAAGCTGAAACTTATGTGAAAGCATCCTAGGGTAGTGTAGATATTAAATTGTTCAAATCATGACCCCCGGGGGAAGGGCGGGGCCACAATGGGGAATCAAAGTTTTACATAGAAATATATATGAAAAATCCTTGAAAATCTTCTTCTCAAGAACTACTGGGCCAGGAAAGCTGAAACTAATGTGAAAGCATCCTAGGGTAGTGTAGATATTAAATTGTTCAAATCATGACCCCCGGGGGAAGGGCGGGGCCACAATGGGGAATCAAAGTTTTACATAGAAACATATAGGAAAAATCTTTGAAAATCTTCTCAAGAACTACTGGGCCAGAAAAGCTGAAACTTATGTGAAAGCATCCTAGGGTAGTGTAGATATTAAATTGTTCAAATCATGACCCCCGGGGGAAGGGCAGGGCCACAATGGGGAATCAAAGTTTTACATAGAAATATATAGGAAAAATCTTTGAAAATCTTCTTCTCAAGAACTACTGGGCCAGGAAAGCTGAAACTTATGTGAAAGCATCCTGGGATAGTGTAGATTCTAAGTTGTAAAAATCATGACCCCTGGGGGAAGGGTGGGGCCACAATGGGGAATCAAAGTTTTACATAGAAATATATTGGAAAAATCTTGGAAAATCTTCTTCTCAAGAACTACTGGGCCAGGAAAGCTGAAACTAATGTGAAAGCATCCTAGGGTAGTGTAGATATTAAATTGTTCAAATCATGACCCCCGGGGGAAGGGCGGGGCCACAATGGGGAATCAAAGTTTTACATAGAAATATATAGGAAAAATCTTTGAAAATCTTCTTCTCAAGAACCACTGGGCCAGAAAAGCTGAAACTTATGTGGAAGCATCCTGGTATAGTGTAGATTCTAAATTAAATCATGACCCCCGGGGGAAGGGTGGGGCCGCAATGGGTAATCAAAGTTTTACATAGAAATATATTGGAAAAATTTTGAAAATCTTCTTCTCAAGAACCACCAGGCCAGAAAAGTTGAAACTTATGTGGAAGCATTCTTGGGTAATGTAGATTTTAAAGTGTTCAAATCATGACCCCCAGGGGAAGGGTGGAGCCACAATGGGGGGATCAAAGTTTTACATCAAAATACATAGGAAAAATCTTTGAAAATCTTCTTCTCAAGAACCACTGGGCCAGAAAAGCTGAAACTTATTTGCACATGGAAGGATCCTGGGGTAGTTGATTTCAAAATGTCTTAATTATGATCAGTGGGGTAGGGTGGGGATACATAATGTATTACAAGGGGGAAATCTGGTAAAGAACAGAATGGTCAAAGCTTCTCAGGTGAGCGATGTGGCCCATGGGCCTCTTGTTACTTATATTTCATTAAATTTTGATTTTTAGGTATAATTTTTTATTGCATTTTATTTTTAAAGATCATTTCTCTTGGTGCTGGATTTGACTCAACATACTTTCGCTTAAGATCAGAAGGAGTGTTGGAAAAAACTTCATTTTATGAGGTAAATATTTGTTAATTGAATAAAATATAGTTTGCAGTATATGCCCAGCCCAGGGATATGATATGTTCAGTATCATGAGATAGTCATGTATTATACATATAAAGCCATAATGTATCATAATATGGCTGTCAACAATTGATTTGAATGTTATTTTTAATACATATTCTTGTATTGCTAATCCTAACATTAGTTTACACAACTTGAATTGATATGTGTATCACAAGTCCTTGTCATCAATAAGATTGATGTACCCATCTCCCCTCTGTATGAATTTTCCAATTTGATTCAGATACTAAAAAGGCAGAATATATATCCATAGTGATACTTCATAATATCATTTCTACTTTATCTGAAACATATCTGATAATATGTGTATTCTTACAGGTATATATTCTAATTTATCACACATTGTAATAAAGTATATTTGCTTTTAGGTGGATTTTCCTGATGTGGTACAACGTAAGAACTCTTTGATTCAGAGCAATGAGGACTTAAAGAATTTAATTCCAGGACTGAAGACCCAGGGAGTTAAGGAAAATCCTCTGATTGGTCAGTAAAGTCATGTATCCTCTGATTGGTCAGTAATGTCATATATATATGCTGATTAGTCAGTCAAGTCATGTGTAAAGTCATGTATCCTCTGATTAGAAAATTCATGTATTCACTGATTGGTCAGTAAAGTCATGTACATCTATCCTCTGATTAGTCAGTGAAGTGGTGTATTCTCTGATTAGTCCGTAAAATCATGTATCCTCTGATTGGTCAGTAAAGTGATGATTGGTCCATAAAGTCATGTATCCTCTGATTGGTCCATAAAGTCATGTATCCTCTGATTGGTCAGTAAAGTCATGTATCCTCTGATTGGTCAGTAAAGTGATGATTGGATAGTAAAGTCATGTATCCTCTGATTGGTCAGTAAAGTCATATATCCTCTGATTGGTCCGTAAAGTCATGTATCCTGTGATTGGTCAGTAAAGTCATGTATCCTGTGATTGGTCAGTAAAGTCATGTATCCTCTGATTGGTCAGTAAAACATTATGTTCATAGATTAGTCATATAAATCACAAATGTATACATTGCATTGGCTGATGACATGTTTCTGTAGTTGAGCAAGAAATATTCAAACAGATACATGTTAAAAATGCTTCATTAATGCCCCTCTCAATTTCTTCTCGAAAAATAAATTCAACTCATTGATTATGATTTTTTTTATTGATTATGGTTCTTTGATTGATTTTGCTTTGTGCAATTTTATACTGACTCTTTGTTTCTTTTTAATAGCTTTATAAATGTATTGATTGTTTTCTGAAGAAAATGCGATTCAGTCTGCTTTAATTTCATTTGATATTTTTTTTCTACTATGACTATTATAAAAATTACATTAAAAAAGGTTTTACAGTGAATAAGAAGGTAAAACTGGGCTTTTGAACTATTTTGATTTCTTCCACACATATTAGTGCATTATAGTTTTCATGTCTTATATTTAGAAATCAACACGGAAGAATATAAACTGTTAGGGGTGGATCTGACCCAGCTGAACACCCTGGAGGCATGTCTAAATCTGTGTGGGGTGGACTGGGACACACCCACTTTATTATTGTCAGAGTGTGTAATGACCTACATGACTAGGAGATGGTGAGCAGCTCTAAATTAAGTCCTTATTTTAAATCATGCATAAGTATAAATTTATCCTTGTGTTCTCAGGCCCCTTTCAAGAAATATGATCAAGGGCATCATAAAAAAAAAAGTTATTTTTTGAATGATTTGTTTAAGTTATTAATTGTCCAAAACTGTCAAAAATGATGAGGGAGGTGATTTGTTGTTTTTATTTTATTCATTTAGCAATAAAAGGGGTCAATGAGGCACCCTTGGAAGAGATAAGGGAGGGCTTAAAAACCAAGAAATTAATTTTTTATGGCCTACTGTATTTATAATTATCTAGATATAAAAAAAAATATAACTTATTTCTGTTGTCATCCTTAACCCACCTCGCTTTATCAAACCTTGCACAAAAATATACGAGGGCTTGCACAAAAAATATAAGACTTAGAGGGTAATGTCCTGTCAAGGGTTTGATACGAAAGAGCTATGCCACTGGCAAAATTGGCAGAAGCGTTTTATTATACTGAAATGTTATAATATAAATGAGGTTTTAATTTTTTTAAAAAAATGATGATATTTAATAATATGAAACCTGATGATGTCACAATGCTGCTGGAGTCATTATGACATCATCAGTTTAAAAAGATTTATCGCTGGAAATCAAAATTGGCGGCAAAACATGAAAATTTTCAGATGTTTTTTAGCAAAACTATAGGCATTCTACTTTTTAAGAGTGGAGTATAAAATGAGTTATTTTACCTTCTGAACTTTATATAGGAAACATTTTAACAGAAGTATAATAATAATAACTATTTATTGGCTATGTTCTCCTTTAATCAACTGAAAGAATGATTTTGTTAACACTAAAGTATTGTAAAGAATTTTTATTCTCTTTGATATCACAAGCTGAATCAAATATTTCCAAGTTCATGGGGTTATAAAACCTTCTTTTTAGTTGATATGGTTTAAAAGAAGAGCAGACAACTGGGAGATTTTCCTCACAAGTCTTTATCTCAATAATTATGATCATGATATTTTTCTCAGATGATACAAATACAATTTTTTTTTACAGTTCTTCAGCTGTAGTGAAGTGGTCAGGAGAGGCATTTTCTGAAGCTGTTTTTATTTTATATGAACAGGTAAAGAGATTTAATATGTCTGTCTGAAAAAAACCCCCCAGATACAACGGTAATTTTTAAACATGATGAATTATCAGTGAATTACATCTACAGTGCATAAATAAATGTTAAATTTTAGATACTAAAAAGCAAATTAAAATCTTAGCATACTTAGAGGAGGAGAAAGAGATCTGAAATTTCAATGATATTTTAAATGCTTGATTACAGACAGTGTTAGACAAAAATATCAAATGTTGTTAATCTTTCTAATGTATGTTTATGTATTTTATTGGTGACTTTTAATATTAAAACATGATACATTTATCTAGTACTTTCTTTCCAGATAAACCCAAATGATGCTTTTGGAAAGTTCATGTAAGTATAGAAACAAAATTATTCCACTGCCTTTTACCTGTTATAAAGTAATACCAGGGGGTACATTCAGCACTCTTAATCAGCAAATGATATCAGTTCAAATGTATCTAATTCAAGTTCAATATAGTCTAATAGTTTCCATTTCTTTTTATGATATATATGAAGGATACTGAAGGTCCACTGTAGTCTAATAGTCTCCATTTCTTTTTATGATATATATTAAGGACGGATGGTACAAACAAACTTTTGTCAAAGAATTTGAAAATAACAACTTGGGTCATGTTTAAATGAATAACTTTCACCGCGTAGTTTTTAATTTCTTATTCAAATTTGCACAAAAATGGAATTTAAAGTGATTAATATTTGTATAGATTAATAAGAATTGTTTCACAAGGGCAGACTTTTTAACATCACAGAAGGTTTACAATTTCTTTATATTCTTGAAATTTATTATTTGCATCATTTGCAATGAAAATAGGCCAAAAAATATATATCAATCCAGGCATCCATTTTTTGTTTGTATCATCTGTCCTTAAGTTGATGTCAAGGCAAAACTGTCATTGCATAAATGTATTCTTAGACTATATGTAGGCTAGACACATTCAGAGTATGTACATGTACTTACATTATCAAACAGGTAATCAAATGCAGATGTAGGTTTCTATAATACACAGTCAAGTCCAGTATATACAGTCCAAGTACAGATATGATGCATATTGTCTTAACTAAGTCAAAATGGTTGCTGTTTCTAAATTTTTCAGGCAGAGCCACTTTCAGGTGATAGGTTCTCCACTGAAATGCATCAATGCCTTCCCCACACTTCAAGCTCAGAGGGACCGCTTCCTGAATCTGGTAAGGACTGATGCTATATTTGTTGTGGAGGTTAACTCCACTTTGGAGTGGTAATAGAGAAATGGTTTTGAATTGTGGAAGGTTAATGGAGGAGTGAAAGTAGAGCAATGGTTGTGGAGTATTAATTGAGTGACAGGGGTGGTTGGGAGAGAGGATTGTGTAAAAAGTGTCTCTAAAAGGTGTAAAAAATGATCCTCTCATTTTGGCCGTGGTTGAACGAGGAGAGAATTCTTCGTAGCTCATTAAAATATTGACCAATGTAAAGCATAGTGATGATGATGGACCTTTCAATATATTATAAGGAAATATTTCTTGTAACCTTTTCTTTGATTTCAATTGTTTAAAGGACAGGCATAAATATTCAAGACTTTTTTGAAGCATAAATAGTAGGAGAGAGTATTTGAAAATTTGAACTCTCAATAGACATGATATTATCTCAGTAGCTGTGATATCTCAAAAGCTGTGATATCTCAAAAGCTGTGACATCTCAATAGCTGTGACATCTCAATAGCTGTGACATTTCAACAGCTGTGATATCTCAATAGCTGTGACCTCTCAATAGCTGTGACATCTCAATAGCTGTGATATTTCATTAGCTGTGATGTTTCAATAGCTGTGATATCTCAATAGCTGTGGCATCTCAATAGCTGTGATATTTTAATAGCTGTGATATCTCAAAAGCTGTGATATCTCAATAGCTGTGACCTCTCAATAGCTGTGACATCTCAATAGTTGTGATGTTACAATAGCTGTGATATCTGAATAGCTGTGATATTTTCAATAGCTGTGATATCTGAATAGCTGTGATATTTCAATAGCTGTGATATCTCAATAGCTGTGATATCCTGAGAACTCTCAATAGCTGTGATATCGCTTTGTGATACATATATATCAGATTTTATAGTTAAAACAAAACAAACAAATCCAACTAGACAAAAATATGTAAAAAAAACCCATCTCATTCAGCCACTAAGTTTTATACATTTGCAGGGTTGGAGTCGGAGTGAGGCAGCTGACATGAACCACTTTTACCAGGAGCTGGTGCCACTCAGTGAACAGCGGCGCGTGGAGTCCCTGGAGCCGTTTGATGAGTACGAGGAGTGGCACCTGAAGTGTAGTCACTACATGATTGTCAGTGCAACCAACGCCAAAGGCTTTCCCTCTGTCTTGTCTGGTAACTACTATATGAGTACTTTAAATAGTGGTCTTCATATTTTAGCGGCTTTGGTGCAGACAACATTGTGCTAATTCATGAAAACCAATAAGAAATCATTTGCATATACAATACATTGAACGGACATGTGTAGTGCTAATTTATGATTACGCCAACAACTCCATATCCACTGCTTATGCTAAATTTTGAATACCTAAAATTATGTACACGTACAGTACTTTATTTTATTTAACATAAAACCATCTGCACTCTATCATTTGTATTTCTATTTAAATTCTGAGGAAATTTTGAATTTCAACAACTATAAAAGACTAGTGCTAATTGTAACGGGAACCGTTACAGATGTTCCCCAAACGCTCCCCAACTTCATTTTGATGCCATATTCCCTGTAAGTTTCATTAAAAAAGATCAAACTCTGTGCATTTTTGACTTTGCGTTTACGTCGAGAAGGATACCAATTACAGGAACCAATTTTATTCAAGCTGAAGCATTGCACCCGTGCGCATGTGAATGCATGAACCGTTATGACCATATCATCTTGTCTACACTATCTATATATTTTAATATACTATATATTAAAGCATTCAGTCCAAAAGTATTAAAAATTACTCATTCAAGTGTATTTTTAGTTCCAAATGCATGCACGTGCGTGCACGTGCATGATGGCCACACCTTCTTTTAGGAGTCCGTTATATCTATCTATGTTCTAAATCTCATCCTGTTTGGTTGAAAAACAAGGGATATAGCCATTTCAACTTTCAGCCAATGATTGCTAGCACACGTGCATACCAAAATTTCATGAATTTTTTCTATATCATATTGTAGGATATCCTGTAATGCATGTCTATGCTTTAAATTTCAAAGCATTTTGTCAAAAAAAAGGGAGATATAGCCTTTTAAAGTTTCAGCCAATTGCAGCACGCGCGCATGCGTTGTGCGTTTCATGAAAATTTTTATTTATCAGCTTAGATCTTCATAATGTAGGACCAAATTTCAAAATTTCATAAGGATTATGGGACAAAAAACAAGAAAGATTTGAGACTTTAGTTTCAGCCAATCAGAGCGAAGCGCACGTGCATCTTTGAAATCTTCTTCTTTTGACCATGTCATCTTGTCTAAACTGCTAATGTATCCTTACAATGAGTTTCAAAAAAATCATCAAGAAATAGAAATGTTATGGCATCATCAATAATATTGGTTATTTCACATGTTGCACGTGCGCGCTCTTTCGAGCACATGTGCATGTACGTGCTTTCATGAAAATTCTTATATATCAGGCTGTAGACCTTTATAATGTGTGACTAAGTTCAAAATTTCAAAGGATTAAATAAACTAAAACAAGAAATATATTATGATGAGCAAGAGTTTCAGCCAAAAGAGCGAAGCGCACGTGCATGCGCGTGGTGTTTGGGGCTATTTTGACCATGTGAATCTTGTCATTAAATCTACTAATATATCCTTCATTATCCTAGTTTTAAAGAATTTTCATAAAAAATGAGAAAAGTTACGGCAAAATCCATTATATTGGTCATTTCACGTGTTCACGTGCGCGCCCTTGCAAGCACGTGCGCGCAAAATGACCTTCGTTAGGAAAATGCATTAAATCTTGACCCTAAAAAGGTTTCTTCCTAAGTCAGATGTGTTGATTACAAGATCACTCTGGATTATAAAATTTTCCCAGGAAGAAGAAAAATAATAATAATAATAATAATAATAATAATAATAATAAGAAACAGAGTAAAACATGAAACAAATTCAATCATCTGAAAGTTGTTGCATGATGCTCAGGTGACCTATAAGGCCCGTGGGCCTCTTGTATAACAAAGGAATAAGTTTATTGCACTGAATATGTGAATACTTGCTTGTATTTTGTTTCTTTTCACATTTACATACTTTATACAAGATTTTTTTTTGTCCTGGAGATTTTCTCAACCTGCAAAAATGTATTTCCCAATGGTTTTTGTACCATTTTAGTTTTGTCCAGAGAAAAATGTGTTAAAAGAGAGATAACTCCTTTTTTTTTCAATTTACTCTAATTCAAATTCACCCACTTGTTATGAAGGTTAAGACCAAAAAAAAAAGTAATTAATAGTTTCTCAGGCACAGCCCCATCAGGTCAAAAACTGCCCTATTGATGGTGTTTTATGAATTAACTTTGAATAATTCTGTTTGACAGACATCCAGACTTCACACAATCCAGGCATCAAAGACTGTGTTACTGTGAAGGAAGGGTCTGCCTCTCACAGTATATGGAGGTTTGGACACAGCAGCCTGTTATTAGAGGACGGTCACTCGCTGGTCAGTTTTGGGGGGTTCGGGGAGGAGAAGGGGAAACACTGCAGAATCCTGGATCTGACCATCACAGATATCAAGACTTCTCAGTCCTACATAGTGCCGGTCAAGGTCAACCCAAGGGAAGTTCAAGGTCAGTATGTATTCTTCATCTAAAGGTCTTGTGTTCAAAGTATAATGTATTAATTTTTGTACAAGCTGCAAATTATTTACAGTAAAACACATTTGTGGTGAATACGCTTATAATGAACTGACACTTACAATGAAGTGCTTTTCATTCCTGACTACTTTAATTCATTGTAAACTTAATGGATATACATTATGTAACAAACTACTTAAAACAAAGCACCTGGGATGAACAATTTTGCTTGGTTATAAAGGTTTTTAGGTCACCTGAGTAAACTCAGGTGACCTATTGCTAATCGTTTTCGTCCGTCGTCGTGCGTCGTGCATTAACATTTGAACATTTTCAGCTTCTTCTCTGAAACCACTGAACCAATTTCAACCAAATGTGGAATATAACATCTATGGGTGAAGGGGAACAAAAATTATGAATTTCATGGTCCCTGCCCCCCTGGGGCCTGGGGGGTGGGGCAAAAACTACTAAAATTAGTGCAATCTTTAAAAATCTTCTTCTTTACTCCTGGACATCAAGCAGTCAAACTGTTGGTATGATTGTAATCAGCAACAAGTCCTCTACCAAAATTGTGAAATTCATGGCCCCAGGGTCAGGGGTTCTGGTGTTAGGGCGGGGCTCTATTGATTATATTGTGAAAATGCATTATTTCTTTGAAAATCTTCTTCTCTGTTCCTGAGTATTAAATAAACTAATTAAGTACATAGTTATGATGAGCAATAGTGCCTCTACCAAAATTGTGAATTTTATGGCCCCAGAGTCAGGGGTTCTGGTGTTAGGGTGGGGCTCTATTGATTATATAGTGAAAATGTATTAAATCTTTGAAAATCTTCTTCTCTGCTCCTAGGTATTAAATAAACTAACTAAGTGCATAGTTATGATGAGCAAGAGTGCTTCTACCAAAATTTTGAATTTTATGGCCCCAGGGTCAGGGGTTCTGGTGTTAGGGTGGGGCTCTATTGATTATATAGTGAAAATGCATTTATTCTTTGAAAAGCTTCTTCTCTACTCCTAGGTATTAAATAAACTAATTAAGGACATAGTTATGATGAGTAAGAATGCTTCTACCAAAATTATGAATTTTATGGCCCCAGGGTCAGGGATTATGGTGTTAGGGTGTGGCTCTATCATGATTATATGGTGATAATACATTACATCTATGAAAATCCTTTTCTCTACTCCTGGGTAATAAGCAGATGAACTATTTATATAGTTATGATGTGCAAGGGCTCTTCTTTCAGAATTGTGAATTTCAAGGCCCCTGGGTCAGGGATACCAAAGACGGGGGGAGGGGGGGGGCTCTATTTCTATATACTGAAAATGAATTGTTTGAAATCTGCTCCTTGGTATTAATTGAACATTTTTGATAAGCAAGTGTGCCTTTTCAAAAATTGTGCAATGTGTAGACCTAGGGTCAGGGGCTCATGTGTGTTAAGGGAACTCCTGATTATTGCTGAATATTACTGATTAGTTGACATGGATTTTTGTTCACCTACCCTGCTTATGGGTATTAAGTAAACAAACTAACCAATTGCAAAGTGTATAGTTATGATAATCAATGGTGCCTCTTTCAAAATTGTGAATGCCATAGCATCTGGCTTAAAACATGAACCAAATTCAATCATTTGAAAGTTGTTGCATGATGCTCAGGTGACCTATAAGGCCCATGGGCCTCTTGTTTATGTTTTACTGTACAAAATATTATTTCAGTTAGCAGAATGCATGATCAGAGTATCTTGCTGAGGGATGGATCTGTGATTTTGGTGGGTGGAAGAATGTCTCCAGTTCGTCTGTGTAGCCAGGTCCTGAGAATCGAGTTCAAACCTGTCACTAAAGGTCAAACAAGGTCAACAGTACTGTGTACCAAGTGTGGAAGCACAGCGGAGGCTGCGTGTGACCGCAAAGGAAACAGGCCTCCTGAGGAATTTGTTCTTGTGGAGGGAAATCATTCCAAGAATGGTCAAAGTCAGGAAGTAGGCTTAAAAATAGAGCAAAAAGTGGAGAGAAAAGAAATGGACTCATCAGTGCCTGATAGACCTAATTTACAGGGCAACACTTGTGAGAGACAATCCAGAAAAGAGAATTTGTCAGAAAATAATTGTAAAAAGGAAGGTGAAAGACCTGAAATGAATTGTGAAAGTGATAAGTTTAATTCTGAATGTGTTAGACCTGATAAATTTAATGGAGATACAGTGATGGAGAAAAAATCAAATTGTGAATGTGATGAAGATAAAAATATTTGTGATTATAATGAATCTGTTAAGGATAATGAGGGTGAAATAAGACGATACTCAGGGGTCCGTATACAGGAAGTGGTAACTACTGGAGACACACCCTCTCCCCGCTGGAGGCATGTTGCTGTGTTGATCAAACAGGAAGGTATAAGTGGTTTGTTTATCTCTTTGATGTTCAATTTAAAAAAAAAATTGCAAGGGTTTATTCAATAAATAATTTTGCATATTATTTATATGTTATAGTTTTTACTACTTTACTCTTAAGGTTTTTGATTCGATCATGTGGATTTATGTTTTTTTTTATCCAACTCTTTGTGTGTTTAAACTTTTCTATTCCCTAGCCAAGCTTTGGAAATAAAAAAAATTGGATAAAAAAATATTAATAACACCACAAACTTTAAAATATTCTCTTTATGTATAACTTATCATATTTAATCCAATATTTCTCCAAAAATACCTTGTATTTCTTCAGTTTGGTATTTTCACTTGTTTTAAGGTCATGACCTTTTATACCTACATGGAGGGAGGACTGACACAGACTTGGCCCTGGACGATAGTTACCTGATGGACACAGAGTCTTTTACCTGGACAAAAGTATGTTAGGTTTCTACTCTGTCTTTGAACATAAAAAATGATGTCTTGGGTTGTTGCATTAAAGTATGCTTGTTCTGTAATTTTTTTTTCTGCATCATTGGTTCTCATACTTTTAAACAAAAAGGGACCTTTTATTATTTATTTATATTTATATCTGTACAAAATATCATTTAATGAAGGATTTAGAAGTGTGAAATACTGTTCTATTGATCATGTTGATATGTTCAATAAAATGTCAAGCTTTAAAATATTCCAAACATTTATTTAAAAGCTGAAAATTTAGAAATATATGCTTAGTGGTGCTGGAAAAATAGAAAATTGATAGATTAAAGCCGTTTTTGAACTGATTGGGCAGTGCCTGAGAAACTATTGATTAATTTTTTTTTCCTAGTGGTGAGAAATAAAGGAAAAATACATTGGAGCCTCATTTATCCGGATATGTTGGTTCCCAGTCAATTTGTCCAATTTTTTTAAGCATCCGGATACCTGAATTACCAGTTAAACAAGACAAAATAAAGTTTAAAAATTCCATTTTGTTGAAAAATCGTCCAGATACCGAAGTGTGCGGATTTCTGGCGTCCGGATATCTGAAGGTCCACTGTATTCTGTTTAATTACATAATTTTGTGGGGTTCAATTTCTCTTGGTTTAAGGAAAAATAAGGGTTTGTTGGAATTTAATTTCTTAGATGAAGAATTATTGAGCAGTAATATCTGTTAAAATATTACATTTCATGGTGGAAATAAATTTGTGGGTCTCATCATACCTTAAACACCAAGAAAATTAAACCTACACGAAAATTAGTGATTTCACAGTATTCATAACCTTGAAGACAAGTTTTGTTTTCTTTTTTGTTGTTGTTTCACAGATAGAGGACACGAGTCCAGGAAGGAGACAGTCACACACAGCCTCTGTTTGGAGAAATCATGTGATCATCGCAGGAGGTGTGGACCAGACGCTTCAACCTTTGGACTCGGTCCATATCTTCAGTCTCCAGACCAGACAGTACACTCAGTTACAGATACAGGGAGATCTCCTTCCTAGGTGAGAAATACCTAGAGGAAATATTATAACAGAGGTAGCTTATTTAAAACACTCATCTGAAAATAGTGGTGGGAATCATTCAAAATTTCATAGTCGATGATTGGGTCACTGTAACTCACCAATTATCAATTATAATCAGACATTTAAAATCTTAACAGTTTAAGTAAGTAATGGTAAGAATGGGTAAATGACTACTTTCTGAGGTGATCTTTGTTCATTTAGTAGAACCCAAAGTACGTCCATGCCAAGAAACACGCTTTGTTATCCGGGTAAAAATACAAGTGTTTGTTTATCTGCACCATTACGTAAAACAGATAAGTTAAAAACAATGTGATGGTTGGAAAATTCGGCTTAAAAATTATTACGCTTGTAAAATAAATTGATAAAACAATTAATCAGAATTTTAAGAATGCAATCGAGTGTTTGGATTATGTCAGCAATTGATTGATTTTCGATTATAATCAATGATTGGAATACCACTATCTGAAAATAAAAATTTTCAGTTTGTAATGAATAAATACTAGAATACTTTTTGTCTTAGCACACTAAACAGAATTAAATGTTTAACAATAGATTTGACCAATATTGATGGACACTTTCAAAAACTTGAAGAAGTTTAAGAAGTTTAAAGTCAATTACTTTCACCCTAGATTTATTGTACTGGTTTTATCAGTAATATCATGATCATTGTATTTAAAGGTACTCCCATACTGCTCATGTGATCAATGATCACCTGATTTTGGTGGGAGGAGTTAATGTCAATCACTCTGTACCAGGCGTGGCCTTCATTGATATTGACAGCAAGAAAGCAACAGAGTTTGAAGTCCCTGTAAGTGTTTTAAGCCAACCTGAGTCGAGCGTTGTGGACCATCAGCATCTTTTTTAATGACAATGAAAATCTATTGGGGCTTCTCTATGGAGTGTAATTTTGTTACATTTTATTAGTATTAAACATCACAAATGAATTTTAAGACTTGTATTGGTTTAATGTGCATCTTAATTAAGCTTGAACTAGATTAATTGTAATGATAGGTAATCAGAGTTTATCACATTAGTCCATTGCTGGTGTTTCAAAGTGCATTTTCTCACTTTCAGAGAGAGTATGGAAATAATCATCTTATGTTACACAAACACACCAGCTGTTACCTTGGTAACAACAGAATCCTGGTGATTGGTGGAGGAGGAAACTGTTTCTCATTCGGAACTCATCTGAATTGTTCCCCTTTTGAGGTTGATGTTTCCAGATGTTGGGAAAATCTTAATGGAATGTGATGTCAGTAAATGGCTGATTTGTTGTTTTAATTATTTATTTACTATGTTATCATAAGGACATGTTAAAAAGTATTTATCAATTTAAACTAAATGGTATAAATTAATTATGCTAAGAAAACTTTATTAAATAAAAAAATCTAAAAAAAACCCCGTTTTTATTTAGGTCATGCAAAGTTAATTACTTGGTTCTCAGGCCTTTTTTCAAGAAATATGATGAGGGAGGGAGGCATTTTTTTTTCTTTTTTATTGCCCCCAAAACATGATGAGACAGCTTTTTACATTGTACAAAACCTCAAAAAATGATGAGGGAGGTGATTTGCTGATTTTATTTTATTGATTTAGCAATAAAAAGGGTCAATGAGGCACCCTTGGAAGAGATGAGGGAGGGCCTGAGAACCAAGAAATTAATTTTTTTTTGCCTTATTTGTGCAAAATATTTGTTCATGTATATACATGACATATTTATTCAGATTCAAAGTTAAAAGAACAAGATGTTTAACAAGTAACTCTCTTTATTTTTAATATAAATCTTATACATAAAATGAAAACACTTGGTCTGGCCTTCAACTTGGCATTTTAGAGATATATCGACGACGTATTGTCAATTAATAATGGTCATTTTCTTTCTTTCTATACTATATATCTTGGTGAGCTTGAAATAGATGAGATCACAGAGTCTGACACGTCTGTTTCATAAATTGATATTTTACTTGAAAATGACGTTAATGGTAACATAATAACACAGCTATATGATAAACATGATGTCTTTAACTTTTCAATCGTCAACTTCTTTTACTAATGACGTTCGCGGCGTCGCGTCAAACCTAAGACGTAAAGATAGGTAGCGACTGTTCCTTCGCCAAGCACTCGGCATTAGAAGTGAAAGTCATGGGTCTTTCGGATATGACCTTAAAAAAACGTACATTGTAGGTCCCGTGTCACGGCAGGCGCTGGCATGATAAAGAACCCTCACTGCTCAATGGCCCTGAGTGCCGAGTATAGGTCTAAATTTGAAGCCCTTCACCGGCATCAGTGACGTCTCCATATGAGTGAAAAATTCTCGAGAGGGACGTTAAACAATATACAATCAATCAATCAATCTTTTACTAATGCTTATATAATCTTACCACCTACATCAAGGTCTACATCTGTCAATTGATTCGATACGCAAGAGCATTATCTACGTATGAGCGAAGTTTAGAACCAAGTTTGTTATTGACAAACAAATTGATGAAACAAGGATTTCAACACTGTCGTTCAAAATCATCATTTCCTAAGTTCTATGGTCGCTACAATGGGTTTATCAGCAAATACAATGCCTATCATTAAATCAATTGCTGATGGAGGTTTTTCATACTAATTGTTAGGCCGTTATCTACACAGTGAATTGTTGGTGGACTATTCCCGTTATTTTCCATTCATGACAAAGAGCTTAATGCTAGTATGACCGTTTGGCAGAGGAAGCTCACTCCTCCAGGACACCCGATTCAACCTCTGATGTTTCAGAGTTGCATGTATCTTTGTTCTGCTGCTGATTTGTACTGTCTGACAGAACATTTGAGTTTGATTACTGTTCATTATCTTATTATATTTCAATAAAGTTGTTAATAAATAAACAGTATTATAATTTGTGTGTTTTGTGTTTAAAGTGGCCTGGACACAGATCTAAAATTAATATTTTCTAAACTTTTCTGTTTAGTATTATAAACTATCGCATTTCACACGGAAATATAATGAAAGCGCGTTTTGGGTGACGCAGGTGACTGGAAAAGGACTCCGAGGTAAATTTAGGCTGATTATTGAATTTCCCTTTCTATTGCTCATACAATTAACATAGGTATGCTATATATGAATTTCTGATTGACAATATCTATGTGGTTTTTGCAGAATTCCAACCAGCTATTGGAGTTCCCATGGGTACCAATTGCGCTCCGTTATTGAGTTGGCTCGCGTAGCGAGCTACTCCCTGTCGACATAGCCGTTTCAGAGCTGTAAAATTTTTCACGCATTCATCAAGGTGATCCATACGCCAAATATAATAGTTCTAGCAAAAAAAGCTTTGGTTTGAGTGATTGTATAAACTTAAGAGGAAAAAACTGTATAAAATTTCATACTGTAACATTATGTATGCCTTCATGCTTTGAAAGAAATTTTTGACTAAATACCTGTACAATGTACAATTACTGCGTATGAATATATATATGTTCAAGTATGTTAGGTGGATCTAATCTTCCCATCTGAAGTTTATTTATAATTGACCTAGAATACTCCCTAACACAAACACCTGCTGATCTCATTAGCTGCAGCTGGTGTGCTTGAAAAATCTATTTTTAGAATCCAGATTTGCTGTGGGAATCTTTAACCTAATTATTCCATAACACTGACCACTTCAGCTAATGTGCTGAATTCATTATAGAATCCAGTCAAAATAATACGGAAGCCCATTAGTGCCAACCTGTATATGTAAAGGAAAAGCAATATACACTTTATTTATGAACCGAACATGGATCAGACATATAATATTCAATCTCTTAGATGCAAAATAAACTGAATATATTAAGGTATGGTGCCCAGACGTATGAAAAAGTGCAATTGACTAGAGCGAGTCAACTCGCAGGCCCTTCAGGCCTTTGATAAGTAGACCTATTTTTATATTCATATGGAGCAAAATTTGTGCAAAATCTTATGCATGAAAAGAAGAAAACACTTGCTGTGGCCTTCAACTCGACATTTAGATATATCGACGACGTATTGTCAACTAACAATGGTAATTTCATTTCCCACGTCCATACGATATATCCCGGTGAGCTTGAGATAAAAGATACCTTAGCGTGTGACACATCTGTTTCATACTTGGATATTTTACTTGCAAAGGACATTAATGGTAATCTAACAACCAAGCTTTATGGTAAACGTGATGACTTTAACTTTTCTATCGTCAACACCCCTTACTTATGCAGCAATATACCTTCATCAAAATTAAATGAATACATTTCAGCTACCACAAGCATGCTATCTTTGGTGTCTTTTATTTTGGTTTCAGAGGGTATAGTATAGACTAGTCGGCATATGATTGACATTTAATGGTATAAATATCTTGAAATAAATCAACTGATTATTAAAGAAGGATTTCAACGAATACCCGGTTAACCGAGTACTTTATCAATCATCCGAGTATCGAATACTACAACTTGGACTCGGATAGCAGTACTCAGATGTATTTTTTACTTATTTCGAAGTGCGTATTTTTATTAAAACTTATATAAAAGATAACTTTAATTTCTTATTTTCTTCTTCAATAACACAAATAACAAACACTCGCACATCATTGTTTCATAAAAAAAAAACAAGAAAAAATATGTGAAAGAAAATTTAATAGATTAAGGAAGAATGGAGAGAAGAAAGAGGGGAAAGGAAGAGGAACGAGAGAGAAGGGACACTGAACTTTCAAAATACTGTTTATAAAAATATTCAAGTTTTTACAATATTCCTCCTGGCGTCTTGTCAATTCCTTAAATTTACATTTTTTCAAGTCTAATTTTGTCAAGAATGACATGTTCAATTTCTCAATGCTTAATTCAATGGGATTTTTTTTAACTTACTTGAAAAAATATATTGTTTGACAATCATAAATAGAAGAATCTCAAACTTGTATGTAAATTTAACAAATCGATCGAATTTTTATCGAAGCAAACATTACCGTTTTAGTTTATTCAAAATCTGTTCTTTAATCAAATCGTTTAAGTTTATTCAAAATCCATTCTTTAATCAAACCAACGTTCTTTAACACAGAAACATTCAACAACAGGATGTGTTTGTGAAATACTGATGCCCCCGTATGGCAACACAGCGAATATTAAACTTTTCTTAAATACAAACTCACTGGAAATACAATTCTGAAATTTTGAAATAAGTTAACGTTTTTTCATGGTATGGAAATCTCCAAGGTCAAGGGCAAAAGATCAAGGTAATTGGTATCCAATGAAGGTCTTGCCACAAAAGATACATACTAGTATGTGAAGTATGAAAGCCATAGTCCTAATCTTTCAAAAATTATGACCAAGGTTATAAATTTTGAAACGTAGGTAAAACTCTAAGTTCACAGTCAAAGGGTCAAATGTTTTGCTTTGAAATGAAAGGTCTTGTCACAAGAATTACATATCTTAAGTTTGAGATCACTTGCCCTTAGCGTTCAAAAGTTATGGTCAAGGTTAAAGTTTTGTCATAAACAATGAAATCCCCAAGGTCAAGGTGAAAAGGTCAAGGTAATTGGTATCCAATAAAAGGTCTTGCCACAAAGAATTCATATATAAAGCCCTAGTCCTAACTGTTCAGAAATTATGGCCAAAGTTTAAAATTTTAAAAAGTGGCTCAAAGTTCAAGGTCAAGGTCAAATGGCAAAAGGTCTTGTTACAAGTATTAAATATGTAATGTATACATGAAAGCACTAGCCCGAACCCTTCAAAGGATATGATCAAGTTTTGCTTTTTAAAAGTAGGTCAAACTCCAAGGTCAAGGTCAAAGGATTAAAGTTATTGGTATCCTATTAAAGGTCTTCTGACAAAGATTACATACGTGAAGTATGAAAGTTATATCCTTTAGCATTCAAAAGTTATGGCCAAGGTAAAAGTTTTTTCATAAGTACGAAAACCTCCAAGGTTAAGGTTGTTGATCCTGAAATCTACTGTTCAAAAGATATGGCCAAAGTAAATCTTTGGAATTTTTGTGTAAAGTGGGTCAAACTCCAAAGTCAAGGTGAAAAAGGTGTAGAAGGTCAAATTTGGTGGAACTTAAAGAAAGGTCTTATCACAAGGAATACACAAGTGAAATATAAAAGTCAAAGTTCCACTAAATCAAAAGTTATGGCCAAGGTTACAGTTTTTGCGGACAAACTGACAAACAGAGAGACAGACAAAATACTATATACCCCCGAAACTTCGTTTATGGGGGCATAAAAAGATGATTAATAGTTTTAATATCCCTATCACAGAAGGAACATACAGGTGAAGTATGTAGTTTATTATGATTTATAAAGATAACTTTTAATAGAAATTCTTCTATGTAAAATTTGAAATTGTAACCATTGCAATTTAGATTCTTGAATTGTTTTAAATGGTAGCTTTTTTTCACATGATGCTTCACAAAATTGTTCTCCTTTTTTCAATTTTGTAACTAAAATTCATTCCCCTTTTTATTTCTAATGAGCAGATCATACATATCTTTACAAATTTCTTTTGGAAATTGGAATTGTTTTATGAACTTGAATGCAAGCTAATCTCTTTGTAAAAGCAATTAGCATTCCTGCATATTTATTATAGTTTGTTTTATCTTCATTAAAGTCATTTTTAGTATGATTCAAACTATAAGTATCACCAGTTGGATCAAGGAATTATTAATAAAGACAAAAGCAGAATTAGAATAACTTTTTAATAAAAATTGACCGGTCATCAGTGGTAACCATTAGATTGTAGCAAACATGTTTTTGATGGAATTTTGTGTACCATTCATAGGTTCATTCTGATATATTTAAGACCAGCTAGAAAAAATATCTTTCCAGAAATCATTTCACTAGGTATTGCCTAAATTCGTAAAAAATGATCAATTCCAAACACCCAAAGATGATTTATACTTGTTACTTCTGCCTCAGTTAAGCTGACAATATAGTTTTTTATATGTTACATGCACCTGTCTTATCCATCTTGCTTTCAGTGCTGTAAATTAACACAATCTTTATGATCTATCAGGCCACCATATTTTAGCTTTTCAATCGTCAACTTTCCTTACTTATGCATCAATATACTTTTGCGACCTGCACACGGAGTTAATATCGTTGAAATGTCTTTGTTAATTTGATCCGGTAGAGCATGTTCTACAGTATGTATGAACAATTTCTAAGACGAGGTACATGTAGGTTATTGACAAAGAAGTTGATATAACAACAATATCAGCAGTCTCGTTTAAAGTCATCATTTTGAAAGTTCCTTCAAACTCGAACACTGTCTGTTTTCTTCAAATGTTTCATTTCTTGAATTTTAGCAGTTAAGATTTCTTTACGTCTTAGCAATTAATTATATCAACCGATGGCGAAAAAAAAAATCAATTACAATCGATGAAACTCACAAAAGCTAATTTATTTCAATTACTTATTTTCGGGAGATTTAACGCCATTAGTTCTACATCAGTACTTAATGCAGGTCGATGTATGTCAATACGCAATTTCCTAGGAGATTGCTTCATTTGTTTAAATTGTATTTAAGGAATGAAGCTTATTTCAACTTATGTTATACGATATAACATACCTTGGGGCAGTTTACGCTTTATAAACCGCGAAGCGGTTTATAAAAAAGCGTAAACTGCCCCAAGTTTTGTTATATCGTATGATATAAATTGAAATAAGCTTCATTCCTTATAATTTAATTTCAGTGCAGACAATGAGACAATTTTTCCCTCAGAATAAAGTTTCACATTGATTAAAATTTAAAAGTAACGTCAAGCGGAGTAATACGTTTTTTGACGTAATTCATTGTGACGTAGGCAAGTTATCCAAAATGGATAAAATCTTTTATCCAATCAAATAACGTGTTACAAGTAAAATTAAATTATTCTTGTATAAAAGCTTTCTTAAATGAAAACGTTAATTGTAAAATATGGAGCGCCTCTTCTGATCTGCAGGTACCAGAGATGAAAGCCCCTCATCAATGTTACTAACTTTTAAAATAGTTTAACGGACATATTAAAAATTTGAAGAATAAAAAGGGAAGAAGTATTTAATTTTTTTATTTAAAAAAAACAAAACGCTGAAAACATAAAAAAGAGAGATTCAAAAAGATTAATCGTCAACATGGTCAATACTAAATATTGAAACCACTGCAATAGGTACACCAACTTTTTCCAATCAAAATTCAAGTACACAGGTAACTAGCTATAAAAAAAAAAAACGAAGGAAAAATGTACGCTTAAGTGATAAACATGATGAAGAAAATAATGTTTTCAGGAGTTTAAATGTTCTTGATTGATTATTCAAATTATGTCGCTAAAATGTTTTAAATAGAAATATATTAGAAAAATAGTTATAAAGGAATGCAATTCAAGCTTCATATTTAACACTTGGATATTTGTTTTGACAGATGAATATCTATTATATTAAAATTTAGATTGTCAACATCTAATTGAAAGGCATTATGTTATATACTTTTAAAGAATTACGTACCACCTGATGATTTACACGACAGTTCCTGGATTGTTAATGTTCATAAAAAGACCATACAGGATGTTTGTCTTAAAAAATTAAATGTACATGTTTTCTCCCTAGGTAGAACCCCTTGAACTTAAAAAACTCTGCACAATTAGTTAGCACTCTTTTTCTTGTATCCTTGTTTATATATAAGAAGACACGAAAGCATATTTAACAGGACAGAACACAGGCTCCAATTTTTCTGACATTTAGAAAAAAATGTCTACGGTTATTCCTGAAAACAACGACACGATGAAAGGTAAGGAAAGAGTATTACTAGAGTTGTTTAGCTAGGTATATGACATATTAACCTTAATATTGAATACAACATAGACGATAAGAATAAGGCATTTTGCTTCTTTAAATTATTTATATGTTTTTGCATAAGATTAATTGAGTATGATATCAGTCAATGAAAAAAAAACCCAGAGTTTTGAGAATAAGATTTTTTTTTATATTGCCTGTAAATATTGAATGATACATGATAATGTTTAGGTAAAATATTTTTCTTATAACTATAGAACAAATGAAATATAACAGTGGAATTCGAAAACGAACGGTAATTTCAATAGTTCTTGGAGTGTTGCTGACAATTGCTCTTATAGCTTTTATAACGGTTTTGGTATTATACCTGAAAGGTAAGACGTTAATCTTTTAGAGTGAAATTTACAATCTTTATAATTTATTGCAAATGAAATATGTTCAATTAAGAAATAAGATATCATTCTTAGAGTTTCATTGGGATATGACATAAAGTGGGTCACCTGATCAAATTTGATAACGCCCGAAGGGCGTTATAGTATATTTGATCACGTACCGAATTCAGGTCATTCCCAAATGAAACTCTAAAAAATGACATTTTATTTCTTATATTCATATTTTCATTTTTATTTGTGTGACAAGGAAAAAAATGCACTATTTAGACTTTGTTATGGAAATGCTACATAATGTATCTACGACGTCATGTGACGTCACAGTCTGAACTTTCCAAATGGCTCGTGTAATTTGCTTTCCATATATAAGAAAATCGGATCATGTGACCAACTGCATGTCATTGAAAATTGAATTTCAATTTTATTATTATTGTTATAGATAAGGAAAAACAGAAGCAAATGTAAATATTTGAAGATATCATATATAGCCCTTTTATGAGATCGATCTATGAAAACAGCATGTCGTTTCATAGAAAACCATATCGTCCTACCACGGGTGTAAGTTCGATATGTTTCTGTGAAGTCAAAATATTGACTTCAGGAAAGGCCTACATTTGTTTAATTTTTAATTTTAATTTAAGAGTTTTGCAGAACAAAACTCGAAAACTTGAAAATGATTGAACCAAAATTTATCTAGATATCAAAGAATAATGTCTTTCATTGTAATTTTTTATTATGTTATATTTATTATGATTAAACTAATAGGGAATTTTAGGGAATATATACCTGCAACATTTTTTAAAATTTAATTTTGAATACTAAAAATAAATAGATTAACATATTAAATGAATGATCAAAATGAGTTTGTCATAAATAGGATTGAGTTTACAGCTCTCAAAAATATTACAGAATGCAATATTTGTGATCCAATGTATATTCTATATCTCAACTCCTTAATGACCATGTCACACAATTATACAATTTATTTTAGTAACTACCACTGAAACCATTTGAAACATCAGACTTTCTATCAAAAGTAAAATTTGAGTGCACTTTTAAAAATTACTTAAAATTATAATTCTTCTAACCCTTTTTTTTTAAAATTAGGACAAAGTTCAAAAGAAGAAGGTTGCAATACAGACAGATTTGATGGTAAGATTTAAATTGTTTTTGTACTGCCCTCAACCTTTCATGAATAGTACCGAAACTAAAAAAAAATACCTTTCCTTGTTTTGTCATGATTTTTCAGATCTTTTCACAATAATCATAGAAGAAAAATAAACAAACAACTATTTACACAACATTTTTGTGACTGGTCACGGTAGCCTAATGGTAGAGCGTTCGCTTCGTGATCGGGAGGCACGGGTTCGATTCTCGTTCGCGGCGTCATGTCAAACCTAAGACGTAAACATAGGTTTTGACTGTTCCTTCGCCAAGCGCTCAGCACTAGAAGTGAAAGTCACGGGTATTTCGGATTTAACCTTGAAAACGTAGATGCCGTGTCACAGTAGGTGTTGGCACGATAAAGAACCCTCACTCCTCAATGGCTCTGAGTGCCGAGTATAGGTCTAAATTTGAAGCCCTTCACCGGCAAACCTTGACATGTCCATATGAGTGAAAAATATTCTCGATTGGGACGTTAAACAATATACAATCAATCTATCTAACATTTTTCTGGTGTTTTTGAAAACCTTCAGTCCATTAAACAGAAATATTGTCTGTTAGATATACCCGGTACATATGATTATTCTTTTGAACTATGGTCATCAATAGTATTATCAAAGATTTTTTACAACAGTTTAAGTATTCTTATGAGGAATGTCAGATTATTATATTTCTTGGTGTTCAATTCTTTCAAGAAATATCTTTTCATATTAAATCAAAAAAGGGTAAAGGTTTTAAGAGAATGCTCTTGTTATTTATCAGAAAATCAAACAACCTTACATTTGTAGGCTCGCTCGATATATAATATAAACGGTAAGGAAGCGCTAAATACTGCACACCAAAGAGTTTAAGGAAGCTTTAAACACTTACAGAAACTGTTTTTTGGACTCAGAGAAAAATATATCATATATAGATATGCATATTTTCATTTATTTAGAACATAGGGTGCGTGCCTTATTTGCGGAGGAAAATGTTCAAAGACAGTGGACTATTTGTGAGCAGAAATCAATGTTGTTTACTTACATTGGGAAAGTTAATGAAAATAGTTAATTAAATTTCTTACTCTTGGTCTTATGTAATGCTAAAATATTTCAATCTATTATGAATTATGTAATTAAAGATAAATAACAATTTCTGTAATTTTACATCTAAGGGTAGATTACTCTAACTGCATAAAACTACCCAATAAATAGAGATCAATTGTATGGTAGTTTTTTGCTATTAGAGTGATCTCCCCTAAGAAGTGAGATAGAAAAAAATGGTTATTTACAATCAATTACACAATTTGTAATAGACTAAAAATGCTTGGCATTATATTAGACCAAGTATAAGTAACTGAATTCCTTATTTCCAGTAATTTTCTCAAGGTGAGTAAAACAGATTTTCTGTCCATGCATAGTCTATTGTCTTTAAACATTTTTCCTGTAGAATTAAGGCAGGTACCCTTCGTTCAAAATGAATAAAATAGTATCAATATGCACACCTTTAGATGATAAATTTTTCTCCCAGACCAAAAAGCACTCTTTGTTAGTGTTTAGAGCGTCCTTAAGATAAAAAGAAACCTAGAAATCTTATATATTAACAATCAAAAATTATAATGAAAATATATTTTGTATACTTATTGCATGCTTTTCCCAATAAATGGCGTGATTCCCCTTGCTGTTCTTTTTATCAGGCAATAAAATAAATGAATTCAATTCCAAAACTTTGAGAAGGATACAACGCAAGGTGACTTACTGCACGGTTTACATGTAAAGTAATGGTACTCAGAATATCAATACGGCTGCCAAAAGATCGTTTTTGCAGATATTTAACAGGTACATGAAATACATGAACAATATACAGCTTACCAGGCATCCAGTATTAAAGTAATGAAATAAAATAACAAAAATCGATTGAAGTGATCTAAAGATGAAACTTTAATCAATTTATTACCATAAAAACACAAAAGCTTGGAATGGGGAATTCGGCGGGTTTCTTACACTTTATACGAATGAGTAAAAGATGCATATTAAGGATAAAACGGTCCGTTATTGGTCAGCAGTGAGGTCACCTTAGATCACCTAATGGGAAACATGTCAAAAAAAAAAAAAAAACAATATTACATGATTTCTAAAAACATTCACACTAGACACATAAAACAATCAAATGTAGCGAACGTGCATACTAGTAATTAGCAATGCGTGCTAATTGTATGTACAAATTAAAATATAACACATCTGGCATCTGTTGTTATTCGATCAAAACATAACAAATCAGGATCAGCACGAATACGGACCTCTACAACATCAATATATAGAAGAGATTGATTGATTTAACGTCCCACTCATATAGAGACGCTTTATATAGAAGAGATAAACACATTGTTATAGCCTTTAAATGTTCAATTTATTATTCTTATTTTCTATTTTTTCTATCCCCTTCTTTTCATTGCCTTTCTTAAACCTACAAAATGTTTATTGTTATGAGAATCAACCGTTTGTAAAAAGTTTTAGGATATAAAATGATGTAAAAATATACACGCTAAGGATTAAAAAGCATTATGAGAAACCATTTAAAAATGGTGAAGGTCTGCAATAAAGTTTAAAAGCATGATATTTTTTCACAGTTGTTTAGGTTGATAGCTTTAAAAAATATTTAGTCTCCCTTATCCTAAATTCCAATTCCATTAAATCAGAATTTGAGGTAACACGTTATTGAAGTTTGATGCAGAAAAAATTAATCACACACATTCTTTTAAGAAAACAAAACTTTTTTTAAATGAAAGACCCTCGTTCAACAGACAGACTGCCATATGCCCCCAAATATTCTATTATGTAGGCATAGAAATTTAAGGAAGAATAATAATGAGAAAAAATCAATACCAACAAGTATACAGTTGTTTGTAATGATTCACAGCTATCCTCAAATTTTTAGTCATTAAATTCGAAAGTATGACGGGCCACTAAATAAGGTTAAAAATGAAAATAAATTCTTAACTTTTTCACTGAAGAACAGCAATGTCACAGATAGTCATTTTGATATACAACCGTCCCCATGAAATGTTTTTTTGCACAGGTCAAGTCATGTGGGTTTGACAACAAAAGAGGATAAAGGTGACTGAGGATATTTGCTTATCTAAAGTACTACGTGTTTCCGTATCTGTCATATATCAATTAACCCGCTTTTCTTACTTCATTTTTATTTTATAGAGCATTTTAACAACTTCCTTCAATTCTATTGTTTTATTGAATAATTTGAAATACTTCCAGTTGCCATCCGAAGTATCGGATTTCTTTGTGAAACTAACGATGGCGCCGATGCAGTGAATTGTGTAAGATGTGCACGACATTTAGATGACCAGGAACAATGCGAGGCTGAAACCAATGGTATTAACAGCATCTGTACCTTTGACACAACTGAAGGACTATGTAGAAGGGCATAAAAGATGTAAACTTAAGGCGTATACCCTTGAGGAAATACATTTTATCTAGTAAAAAGGAATAAATTTTAAGATCTATATGTCGTTTTTGTCATTTGCTAGACCGGACCATTAGCAAAAATTAACATTTCCGATAGATATTTTTCAGTTTTAACATTTCGCACTACGGGCATGATTTCATCTATGATCTTTCGCATCTAGACCTGTTCAACTGCAACTTCAAATCCAATGAAACCAATGGCGAATATCAAATTTTACGAATTTACGTTATCACGTGATCTTCGATTTTCCAGATCACCAACCACATATCACCACTCTCTGAGGTACGCAGAAATATACGTTATTTTTCTTGCGCGTTAAGCTTTATTTTATGGATTAAAGTTTTCTTTTGCTATATTTTGCTACTTATGAAGGGGATATAATAAAATATTTTCTTTCAACGTAGCGCAGTTACTTCGGTATTTGGGATCTCAATTGTATGTCTTTTGATCAACATACCCAACTATGTTTTTTTTTTCATCTTATGGTCAGTTGTGCTCAGTTTGGAAGCATCAACAAGAGAATTATTCAGCTGGCTTTGTTTAGCTATATATGCTTTTCATCATATATAGAAAATCATAAAGCTCGTTATCTGACCTCACACTTTATCAAAGGTATGGTCAGCCATTTCCAAGATATCCATGGTCATTTTCAACACATCCCCAGGGTAAGCTGCAAAGATACACTAGACTTTTTATCTCCTTGTTCAGGTATTTTAAAAAAAAAATATTTGATTCTTCTTAGTTTAAATACTTAACCCTCATCAAAATGCTACATTCAACAATAGATACCAAATTTTACATTCTTTTATACAGTTAATCAAAGATCAAAAGTGATTATTACAGTAAATCAAAGTTATCACTGTAGTGATTTCTTGATGACTTTTGTATCATCGTTTTTACCTTATTGTCATACTTGTAATTATAGTGCCATTGTTATAAATAAAGTTAATCAAGCTTTCAAAGTTGCATGTCAATCAAATTGTCAAATTTATCCTCGTAGTACACTGTAAATCAAAGTGTTTGAAGTGTATAGTAATTACAAATTCGACATTTATAAGTACCGTATATAATTTTCCTTGATAGATATCCCATTTAATGTCTCATGTTTTATAGAAACAAGATGTGTTTGTGAACAAATATACCGTCTCCATCTCCATCTCCTAGGGTTCAAAAGCTATAGTGAAAGTTCGAAAAGCTATTTTTAGTATATAGGTCACAGTCAAGGTCAAAAGATCATTGACCTTGGAGTTATTTAAAAGAGTTGAATTAGTGGAGTATGCATACCAAATATGAAGTCTCTATCTCTCATTGTTCAAAACTTATGGCGAAGGTTCAAGTTGGCAACAGACAGACAAACAGCTAAACAGACAAAGAAATAAACAGACAAAGAGACATGAGAAAAACAATTTACGCCTCGGATCTATCGATACAAGCGTATAAATATCGGACATCTATAGATAATTTGAATGGAGGTGCCAAAGTAAGCATAGGAAGTTTGTAAGATCTGGAAGTACCGTATATACTCGCCTATAAGTCGTTTCTTTTTGGGAGTTAAATTTTGATCTTAATTTCTATGTCCGACTAGTGGACTTTTACAAGAAACACTGACTTTCACAGTTGATTGACTGACCGGGAGTTGAGGGTAAGGTGGTTGTCGTTTTCTTTCAAGACAACTGATTTACGCTGTGCAAACTCTATCTTGTTTAATATATCGTTTCCTTCGCTGAGTATATATGGTAATGTCATGAAATATGTGCAAACGGCGAAATATATATTTTTTTCACGTTGCACGTATTTGAAGCTTTACAAAAATATGATTTCTTAATTTTCGGTTTTTATTCTTCAATCACACAAATGACAAATAATACAAAACAAGGAAAAAATGTGTGAATGAAATTTTAATAGATTAAGGAAAGATGGAGAGAAGGGGAAGGAAGAGGAAAGAGAAAATTAAGAACTTTCAAAATACTGCTATGAAAATGTTTGAGTTCTTACAATTTTTCAACAACTTCTTGCCAGCTTCCTGTAAATTCCTCAGATTTAAAGTTTTTCATAGTAAAACATTTTCAATTTCAATTCGGTCTATAATTACACATTCAATTTCTCAATGCTAAATTTTATTGGATTTCTATTTACCTTAGATGTACTTGAAAAAAATATACCCAGTCTGTTTCATAATCATTATCAGAAGATTCTCAAACTTGTATTGGTCTCTGTAAATTCAATAAAAAAGATTGATTTCTTCTCGAAGCAAACTTACCGTTTTAATTTATTTATGATCCATTCTTCAATCTCCAACTAAAGTTCTTTAATACAGAAACATTCAACAAAAAGATGATCAATAATTTTAATATCAGTATCACAGAGGGAACATAATGGTGATTCAGTTTAAATAAATTTATAAAGATAGCTTTTAGTAGAAATTATTCTATGTAAAATTTGAAATTGTATCAATTGCAATTTATATTCTTGAGTTGTTTTAAATGGTAGCTTAATTCATTTTTTCACATGATGCTTTACAAAATCTTTTTCCTTCTTATCTCCAAATTGGAACAAGTTATTTTATCTTTTTTGTTTTTAATGAGAATATTAAACATATCTTGACATCCTTTTTTACTCTTAAAAAATCAGGATATAAGTAGGAATAAATTATCTGGAAACTGGAACTGGTTTATGATCTTAATTGCAAGCTAGTCTCTTTTTAAAAGCAATTCGTAGTCCTACATATTTAATATAGTTTGTTTTTTTTTCATTAAAGTCATTTTTAGTACGATTAAAACTATAGGTATCATCATTTGATCAAGAAAATCATTATTAAAGACAAAAGCAGAATTAAAATATTAACTTTTAATAAAAAATGGCCGGCCACCAATGGTAACCTTTGGATTGTACCAAACGTGTTCTTGAAAGAATTTTGAACCATTCATAGCATTTTACATGGGCGGATCCAGCAATTTTTGAAAGAGGGGTTCCTCATCGGTGCTCACAGCACTCATGCATAGAATCACACCATGAACACTTCAAGTCAGTAGCTACATTAATAAGAAGTGCAGGGAGGACCTCCAAAATCAGGTGACAAGAAAAAAACCAACCAAACAAACAAATCAAAACAAAAACAAAAAATATGCCCCACACTCTAAAATCTTTTCTGTTTTGGAATGGGTAGAGAGGGGCTTCCTTTAACTTTTCTTATCCTTACATGAAGAAATTCTTGAATCTGCGTATTTCCGGCAACAAAAAGTTTGGAGGGAGCTTCCAATTCCAAATATAACTTAAAACTGCAGCAAAAGATTATTCTCAGAAAAATTGACCCCTCTCCATCTGCATACTAAAGGAACATTTTACACCTTTCTCTTCATTGATTAAAAATATTTTGTGTATACTTCTAAAAGTTAATTAATTCTGAAGATAGTCCAAAAATATCATAGCTAAAGATCGCTGGAATCTACCTTGCTTGTTACTTGAGCGTGGTCGGAGCCCTTAGCTAGGATTGTAAAGGTACGCGGGGGAAAGAAAATACGCGAAAATCTACAGATCTAACAGCAAAAAGGACAGAGATTTTTTAATTTTTTTTTTCAAATTATTAGACGGAAAGATATCTATATTACAGAAAAAATTCTCTTTCTCTGTACAAAAGAAGAGGGATGGGTTCCAATCCCCGGACCCCCCCCCCCCCCCTCACCCTTCCTGGAATTACCGATGTTTTACACCAGCTAAAAACATTTTTGCATAAAATATTTATCAATGTGCATTTATTTCCTAAATTCTTAACATAACCAATTCTAAACAACCAAACATGATTTATACTTGTTAATTCTGCCTCAAGTAAGCTGACCTGTTTAGCTTTTGTATGCATAAATTAACATGTACCAGCATTATCCAACTTGCCTTAAGCGATATAAAAAATCTTTATAATCTATCAATCCACCGTATTTTAACTTTTTTAATCGTCAACATCCCTTAATTATACATCAATATACCTTTGTTACCTGCATACGGAGTTTATATCTCTCAGTTGATTCGATAGGGAAGAGCAATTTATGCATGTATGTTTGAACAATTTCTATAACGAGGTAAGTTATTGACAAAAACATTGATGAAGTAAGAATATCAGCAGTTTCTTTTAAAGTCATCAATTCTTAAGCTTTATGGTCGATACCTGACCTTGTCAGTAAATACAATTTATCGTTAAAGTCAAAATGCTGATTGACCTTTTTCATACTATGGTTTGGCCATTATTTACACACTGAGTTGTCCATGGATTTTCCCTTTTTTCACGAATATGACGAGTATGATAAGAAGCACACAGCGGATGTTACCGGTCGGTAGGGGATGCCTACTCCTCCATAGCACCTGATCCCAACTTTGATGAAAAACATACTGAAACGTAGAAAAGAGTAACCCCAAAAGATCAGTCATCAAGTCTAATTATTGTTACCAATGCAATGGGTACACGAACTTTCCCCCCCTCAGAAATCAACTAATTAGAAATAAAACGAAGGGAAAATATACGCTTAACGTTATTCATTCTTTCTTTATCCATTACAGACAAAACACATGCATTTTAGCATTTTGAAACAAGATATATTCATGATCTTATTCATGATTTGACACAATTGTCACAATTTAAAACAGAACCTCTTATTAAAGATAGTGACCAATGCACGTATTTGCATATAGATACACATCATAATATGCATTTGTGTAATACATGTAATTAGTTAAATTGATGAGCTTTTCACAACAAAATTAGTGAGTTGGATTTAATCAAAAAAATTAACGTGCATTTTCAATTTATCGAAATTTTAGGAAATTGATATTTCAGTATTTAAATTCCTTTGTCTCAAAACAAATTCAAGATATTTATAAATCATCAAAAACAATAATAAGTGAAATTTTTTTTTACCTTGTTCTTTATTTTTCTTAAATTAGACTTCTGATGTAAGCTGTGCAACCGTGTCATTATTTTTTTTACATTGCTTTCCTTTGGCCTAACATTTCTTGAATTAATG